CCCCCCCCCCCCCCCCCCCTTTTGAGCCGGCTCCTTCCCGCCCAGGCATCGAGTTCATCCATGCTCCTGTCCCGCTTTCGGGTGACCGGGGCGCGGCTGCGTCCAAGCCTGGCCGCTCTCGCGCCGCTGACGCGCGGGGCCCGGCCATTTGGCCCGGCCGGCCCGGTGGCGCATGTCAGCCACCGGGGCTTTGCCTCGCGATCGGACGCCACTGCCGTGGCCGGGGCCGGCTTCGTGGACTTCGACGATTATGAGGACGACGCGCCGGGGCCGGCGGCCGGGGCCGACCCGGCGGCCAACCTCCGGCGCATCTACGAAGGCCTCAATGCGCATGCCCTCTATTCGGAGGAGCACTCGCCGGAGGCCATCTACGCCCCGACCGGGCGACTGATGCGCAACCCGGCGGTCAAGCTGGTCCAGGACCCGGAAGACCCACGGACGCGGGCCCTGCAGGTGGATCTGTGGAACTACGGCTCGGATGAGGACGATGATGGTCTCTTCCTTGACAATGGCACCGACGATGAGGCTGGGTCCGGGGCGGACCTCCTGTCGGATTCCGACTTCGATGGGTACTACTCCGGGTCGGACTATGGCCACTCCGGGTCGGCCTTCGACGCCGAGTATGATGGGCCCGGGACGGGGGCGCATGCGCCGGCGGCATCTCGGCCGACCAGCCTCTCGGCGGCCCTGGCGTCGGCCAGCACCATGTCCCCGCCGGGGTCCCTCCTGACGGCGGGGGCCCCGGTGTCGCGTGAGGCCGGCCGTCGGAGGGTGCCGCCGCCGGCGCCGCGCCCGACGGACCCCTCCGGCCTGGGCGTCCCTTCGGGCACGGCTGCCGCCCTGGCCGCCGGGGCCGTCTCCTCGGGCGAGGGCTTCCACTCGGATGACTTGCTCTCGGACACGGAGCTGCCGGGCCCCCTGGACACGGACCCGCACGAGGGGCTGGTGTCGGAGGATGTGCTCGCCGAGCTGGCCACCGGCGGGAGTGATCTCTTCCCGGCGCGCAAGGCCCGGCACCAGTTTGACCGGATGCGTCTCTTCATTGATGAGGTCCGGCTGACGGTGCGTGCTGGCAGCGGTGGAAATGGCTGTGTCAGCTTCTTGCGGGAGAAGTTCCGGCCGGATGGCGGCCCGGATGGCGGCGACGGCGGTCGCGGCGGCAATGTCTACGTCCGGGCCTCGTCCTCCTACACGAGTCTCCACGGGCTGCAGAGGTCGTATGTGGCCTTCAACGGGGAGAAGGGCCACGGCCGGCATCGGCACGGTGGCAAGGGCCGCGATGTGTACATCGACGTCCCGCCCGGGACCATTGTGAAGGTGCGTGCCGCGTGCTTTTCCTTTTCGCGGCATTTTTTTTTCGTCGGTGCTGCTGCTGCTGTTGGCTGCCCTCCTCCTCGCCTCCCAGCCATTGCCTCGCCTGCTCGCTGTCCATCGGCGCGTGCTCACCTTCGCCCTTGCCACTGCCCCTCCCTTCGGATATGTCCGGATGTCCGGATGTGTGTGTGTATGCATGTTCGCGCGTGTATTGTTGTCGGGGGGTGTCTTTTTCCCGCGCCCCCTTTCGCGTGTCGGCGCATGCATGTGTGCCGGCATGTCTGTACCGCACGCACGCATATGTGTCTGTGTGTGTGTGTGTGTGTGTGTGTGTGTGCATGCCCGGGCCGCGCCCCCGGCCGGGATGCGTCCTGTCGGCCGGCCGGTCTCGCAGGTGTCCGAGAGCCAGGGCGACCAGCCGGTGGTGGTGGCCGACTTGAGCACCGTCGGACAGACGTACCTCCTGGCCGAGGGCGGCCGCGGGGGCCGGGGCAATATGCGGTTCATGACGTCGACCAATCGCGCGCCGCGGCAGTTCACCTATGGCGAGAAGCGCACGCCGGTCTTCGTCCGGCTGGAGCTCAAGACCCTGGCCGATGTGGGGCTGGTCGGCATGCCGAATGCCGGGAAGTCCACCCTCCTGCGGGCGGTGTCCAATGCCCACCCGAAGGTGGCGCCGTACCCCTTCACCACGCTCAACCCCTTCGTTGGTGTCATCGAGTATGCGGACTTCTTCCAGCTGAAGATGGCCGACATCCCGGGGATCATCGAGGGGGCCCACCGGAATCGCGGCCTGGGCCACCGGTTCCTCCGGCACATCGAGCGCAGCCGCGTCCTGGTGTATGTGGTCGACATCACCGGCGGGGCGCTGGTGGTCAAGCGCCCGGTGTCCGTGGCCCATGGCGAGGCCCCGACCCCGGACCAGATCCACGTGGGCTCCCTCTCGGAGCCGGCCTTCGACCCGACCTTCGACAACCGGCACCCGGGCCAGCCGCCGGTGGTCTTCCCGGATGGCTCGTCCCTGCAGCTGCTTTACTACTCGCCGGCGGATGAGCCCTCGCCCTCGGGCCCGGGAGCCGGTGACTCGGCCGGGCATTTGGGGTGGGCTTTGTCGGGCTCCGGCTCGTCGGAGTCCGATGGCTCCAGCTCCGGCTCGTCGGAGTCCGATGGCTCCAGCTCCGACTCGTGGGATTCGTCGGATCCCCGCCCTCTCGACCCCGGCACCTCGAAGCCCCGGCAGGCGCCGGAATTGACGGCGGCCGGCAGTCGGTCACCGAGCTCGGCACCCGCGGCCGATCCCCGCCCGGCCGAGCCGTCGGGCCTTTCGGAGTCCGACACCGAGTACAAGCTGGAGCTGGTCGAGATGCATGATGCTTCGGACTCCGACATGGGAATGTACCTGGAGACGGTCGACGGGGCGGGGCTGTGGGACGCACCGGAGGCCGACCCGATGCCGGCCTCTCTGGCCGAGCAGGCCCCGGAGAGCTTGCGCCTGCGTTTGCTGGAGTTCGGCCTCGGTGGGCAGATGCTGGCCCTGCTGCCGGACGAGCCGCTCGACCGGTCGCTCACATACCTGGAGTGTGCCATGGTGGCATACCACTCGCTGCACACCGGGCGCCTGGCGGCCGCGCAATTCGAGCAGCTGGCCTTGGAGCATGGGTTCCTGCATGAGTGTGTCTTCTCCTTCAACAGCGGAGCGGAGAATGCCCTGGCTCGGGGCCTGGGGCCTGGGCTCGGGGCCGGGGTCCCGGACTCCGGCCTCGAGGACGCCCCCCTGCCGGATCTGTCCTTCCTGGAGGAGTTCATTGATGACGAGCCGCAGGAGGGCGCCGGTGCTGGGCCCGGCCCTGTGGCCGCCGGCCCGCGCCGTCTCCCGCGCAAGATGAACCCCCACCTGTCGAAGACAAACTTCCTGGAGCAGCGCATGCCCTGGGACGACCTGCACGCGCTGCAGGCCGAGCTGGAGGCCTTCCACCCGGGGCTCACCCGGCGCCCGTCCATCGTGGTAGCCAACAAGATGGACCTGGACAATATGGACCCCGCGCAGCAGGGCCTGGCCACGCGCAATTTGGAGGAGCTCCGCCGCCGGACCAACCTGCCGGTCCTGCCGGTGGCCGCCATCAACGGCGACAATGTGCCCGTGCTGACGTCGGCCCTGCGCCGGATTGTGGACTCCCTCAACCAGGGGGCAGGCTCCCCCGGGGCCGAGGCTTGATGGCGCGGCATCGGCCGTTGCCCCGGGTGTGGCTGCCTTTCTCGCGGTCCCGCCCCGGTGTCCGGGACCGACACGGCTGGGCTTGTGTCTGTCTGTTTGTCTGCGCGTGTCCGTGTGCCGCTGGGAGGTCGCCCCCTCCCCCTGCCCTTCGTTCTGCTCTGCCTTTCTCCCCCCCCCCACCCGAACGGGTGCATGCGCACAGACACACACATGTGTATACATCACGCACGTCTGCCGTACCCCCTCCTGGTTGACCGAGCCCCGCCAATTGGCGCACCACGCGGGAGGTTCTATGTATGTCTATAGGGGGAGGGAGTGAGTGGGTGTGACGGGCGTCAAAAGAAGGGGGGGGGGGGGGGATGCCGGCTTGTCCGTCCGCGCGCCAGCCGTGGGATGGGGGGCTGCTAGGCACTGCGAGGGTCAGTCGGGCCGCCGCCGGCCAGGGGCAGGAGTGAGGCGGCCAAGGCGGCTGGACGCCGGACCAGCCGGACCACCACCACTCCGATGGCCGAGAAGACCACCACCAGGGTGAGAATGGAAAAAATGCTGGGCCTGCGGCGGGGGGGAGAGGCACATGGAGGAGCGGCGTTAGGGCTGGCTTTGGCCGGGCCAAAAGTGGGGTCCATGCGGGCGATGGGCGGCTGTGCGTACGGCAGAGCAGGGCCGCCAGGCGCCGGGGCTGGCGCTGGCGAGGCCGAGCCGGGCACCACACGGCGGTGCGGCCCAAGCTCAAACGACGATGGCTCGGGGAACATGCGCTCGTAGTACCGGCGAAGCATGCCAATGGCCTGACATCGGGAGGCGAGACGGAGAGCGAGAGAGAGAGACAGAGAAAGAGAGAGA